AATATTGAGTTACATGCAAAAAATGTAATCACAGACCTTCATTTTTTCGCTCGCTCTTTTTCCTTTTTAATAGCTCCCCTTTAAATTATGCGATTTCGGCTTCCTATTCATTATTGCGATTTACTCTGATGAGTGCAACACCAAAAGCTTGACTATTAGTTATTCGTTGCTATTTTATAAGTTACTAGAAAGGCCTTTTAAATTAGACTAGGCAGATATAGATATACCTTTCTCTTAAGTACACCTATCGTTCAGCTAATTATAATCTTTCCTTATTTCTACTTATTCTCTTCCCCATTTAGCTTTCTCTTTCCCTCTAACTCTCTCTGCCCGTGCTCTTTACCCTTGTAGGGTGCTTCAGCAGGTCAGGGGCGGGGGGGGGGGGGGGGGTGCAAGGAAACTTCTGTAATCCGTTGGTATCACAGTGATACCAACGGAATACAGATATTCTACAATATTTACTTGTACCTTTTGAAGGATATTATTTATGCGAGGGAGCGAGAAGATTATTGCATTTGTATTAGTATAAACGCTTCACTCTTGTACCCTCCAAAGCCTGAAAGTGTGCTGCAGTCTGTAGTCAGTATTTGCTATACATTTTTTGGGGGGCACTTTTTCAAATTTCCTGGGGGGGGGGGGGGGGGGTAATCCCCCTAAAAAAATGTCCACCGGTTCCCCCGGTATCGCTGTCCTGCATCGGTTTGTACAATTGTACCATGTATATCCCTTACGACACCCTATGCTTGTAACGACTTTCAGTGCTTTCCATTATTCAAGTTTTATACACGCACACACAAACGCACACCCACAAACCTCACCTTATGCGACATCCTACGCACTCACACCCCACCCATCTCACTCTCTTTCCCTCTCTCTCTCTTTCTTCTTCTCACTCGTTCCCTCCCTCCTTGCATTCTACTTAACCATGTTTCCCTTTATCTTTTCTCTATGTCCATCTCCCATCTTCTTCTTGCTCTATTCCCCCTCCTCATCCCCTATCTCTCATACTCTCTTCTACTTCAACTTCCGGGTCTATCTTTTTTCGTTTATTTCCCTCTGCTCATTTTCCTTTTATTCTCTTTCCCCCCTCTCCCTCTACCTTTCTTCTTCTCTTCTTCTTCATCTGTCTGTCTCAGTCACTTCTCCTCTGTATCACCTTTCCTCTTTATCTCTTCTCCTTTTTATATCTTCTCTCTCTCTCTCTCTCTCTCTCTCTCTCTCTCTCATATGCTTCCATGCATGGTCCAAGCATGCATATTGATGGCTACTCCCCTGTCTGCATCCCTCATCCAACCCATGTTCTATCCATCTCTCCTCCTCCATCCACTTCTCTCTCTCTCTCTCTCTCTCTCTCTCTCTCTCTCTCTCTCTCTCTCTCTCTCCGTCTCCCTATCCGTCTCCTCTCCGTCTCCTCTCTCTCATCTGCCCTCCTCAATGGTCCGGCGTGTAGGTACCCCTAATGGGTCAGTCGGCTACGTTACGGTGTAATACATGTGGCTATGAGTCTGATTACAAACTGACGACACTTTACTTTCTCGCCTCCTTACTCCCAAGCCAACCTTTTAAGCACACTCCCCCGAATCCGTCATCCCGAATGGACCATTTACGCCGACTTCCAAACTCTACATCCACCTGATGCTAATACCGCTTCTCTTTCACTTCATCTGAATTCATCAACATCATTATCGTGGAGCTAATTATTTCATGTTTCCTAACTCTGGAACATTTTGGTGACCATATTCCGGAACAATGTTTTTGGGGTGACTTGTTGAAGTTTCGTTTTCCTTGCATCGCCTTGCAAGCGCTTTTTGAAGTTGAACTGAAAGTAGTATCATCGATTGGGCAGTTCGTCGGCATAGGGTCAACCGTCCGCATTCCTTCCAATTATTGTCTTCTGATCAACTCTTCACCTCCCCAGCATGGACACCATCTGAATTCTACCAGACCATTTTTTAGAAACTTTAAGGTTCTTCCGATTGTCTTCAAGGCGAATCTGACAGCCTCCTCTCTCTAATAACCACCCTTCATCGACGCCACTATCTTTCAAATAACTCCATAATCTTCGATTGGATTCTTTTAACATAAAGGCACCATGTTTGACACTTGATCTGTCTGTATTCACTTCGTCGCCACCAACGATATGCTTCTTCTTTCCTGCTCTATCTGGAAGTTTTAAAAATAGTTTGGCAATCTTCGGGGGTGGTGTCGAAATATCCCTCAAGTCTCCACCTATATAAGTTGGACGCCCTTGGATATAAGTTCATATTCACCTCGGTGTGTCGCGATTCAAGAGGGCCAGTCACATCATTCTTGACTCCAGCTTTATCTGACCGAAGTACTTCTGATTAAAAAAAAAAATAATTGACTGACAAGTATCTTCTGTCTCGAACTTTGTCTGGATTTCGGCATCTGAAGTGTGAATTGAAGTGTAAAACATTATCTGCTTCCTAATCTAATCGGAGAACATACTTCGAGGTTTGCAAAGTTCCCTAGCACTGCTAGCAGATGAGAGAATAACACATTGCGTTTAAAGTTTAAAGTTTAAAGTTCATCATCCACAAATACTATACTTGATATTTTCTTGGAAATTCCTTCGTTTTGAATCATACAAAATCGGAATTTATTCATCCTCGTCAAAGGAAACGGTAAATATAAATTTGTTGAGTGTTTCTCGATTTTTCTTGTTTTGTTGTTGACGTTAACCCTACTTCCTTTTTTATTTTCTGTGCTTTCTATTTTGATAAAACATTATTTTTTCATTTCGTCATTTTCGTCACTCTCTACATCCTTAAAATCTACCATCCACTCTTCTTCCTCTTCCTCCTCCTTCTCTTAATTTTTCGTCCTCCCCCATCCATTATTATAATAAGATAATGTGTATCATCTATTTAAAACTAATGAAGGACCCGCCAAGACGCTTAATTATCCCTGCACATTCTTGTAATATTTATCCATACACACAAGGGTTATGAGTGGCAAAGGTGACGGCTAATAACACCTTGCCAAATTGGGGGTACATCTAGGAACCCCTATCGGTTCAAACATCAATTCTGATGATTACATATCCACTTGGCGTCATATTAAATGGTTTTTGAGGTTGAATTATTGTACTTACCTGTTATAAAAAAAACCTATTACAGAATTACCACGTTCAGTAAGATTAAATTTTGTGCACCACTCTTCTTACTAAGTATGTTATCCGTCGGTTTGAAAATGAAAATTGTGATAATGCTCATTTTGAATATCTCGCAATCATAATTTCACTTCCTCAATCTTTAGCTCAATGTAATCCTAAATTTCTCCAGTATATTTTCAACCGCTTTGTAGCAGTTTCGACCTCTGTAATGTTTTAAATTGAAACATAACAGCGGATTTTAAGAGTAGATAACATTTGAAAACCTTAAATGTTTTCTATTGCATCTGCATCAGATGATAATGGTATATGTTGATAAAAATTTAAACAAAATGGGACAAATGATCAAACCGTTCGAAGATTGAGATGACTAAATTTACGTGAAATTCAGAATGACGAATCCGTCATTAGACTGTGACGTCAGTTCGGAAACCTCCCATTTGCTGTACAATACAATATCACAAATGTTCTATCACAAACACCTTTTCCGTTGCGACTGTACTCGCAATATTGCATGGATGCCATACTTTAAAGGAACTCAAAGCATCAACAGATCCTACTCCGTTATGAATGTCAAAATCATTGTAATCTCGAGCGTAAAAAAAAACATGAAGTTATACATGTCTGATAATATTTAGTCTTATATAATAATTAAATAAAATATGTATAACGTTCTTATCCAATTCCATTCTAACTTTCACCTCGAGATGATTTCATTTGGAAAGCTGTATTTAACAAAGTGAAGAGGTCTGTTTCTAAAATAAGAGCCACAGCCCAAACCCTTATCCTACCCATACCTGGGCCCTGTCGCACAAAACTTACCATTGATGGTAACTTTGCCACCAATGGTAACTACCATGAAAACCTTGATTTTGATTGGGTGTTGAGCCCTGTTACCATGGTAGTTGCCAGTGAAGGCAAAGTTCCCATCAATGGTAAGTTTTATGCGACGGGGTTCCTGATTTCCTTTTAGCAAGTGGATGTAAATTAGTTAACTTAGTTACATAACGTTGAGACAATTTCTAGAATATGCCTCAACAACTAATTAAACAGTGTCCATCCTTTCCGTTCATCATTGGGCGTTCCCAACACAAGCCTTGCTTTCCGGGTTTCGCCTCATTTTCTTGTCTGAATTACAAACTAAAATTGGGATCGTATAACTTAAAAGAAATTATCATTTAAAGAGAAGGTTGAGTTCTGGGAAGAGATGAAAAATGATTTGTGAGCGTTATCATTCTTATTATGCAAGTGTGGAAGAACATTAGATAAGACATGTTCCCTAAAAAGCATGGCTCTTCAAATGCCCTATATATTCTAAATATGTCATGAACATCGTAAAAGTCGAGGGGTAGGATTTTTACGCCACGTGTTAGTGTAGTCCCATATACATCTTTCTGTGTACAGTGTTTGTAACTTTACCAAGACTTGGCCAAATTTCTTATCATTTTGATGATTCCAGAACCTTGCAATATACACATATTCTTATATGCTAGATGATCAATCTTTTTTGGTCGAATCCACACCGTTTCTTTCACAATGCAATCGCATGACCGGAACTCAACTTCATCTTTAATCTTGATTTTTCGAATAGTACATGCTTGAACTCTTTACCATTTTCATCGATCTGTTAATGTTCGAGGTTTCCATCAAGCTCTTGAGCATTGGTAATTCTAGTGAAGAGCTGGGAGTCTTCACAAGAGATCGAACAAAGTCAATGTGATATTTTTACGATCGGACACACGAAGAATCCATCCCCTGATTAATTACAGGCTAAGATCTTATTGCCTGACGAGAGAGAGGGTAATGTTCGGGGTGACTACATGTCGTCTTCCCGAAGGTTAACAATTCCGAAAGTTCGTACTTCCGGATGTTCGTTCTTCCAAAGCTTCGTACTTCCGGAGATTCATTCTTCCGAAGATTCGTCACTTCTATGGTTCAGAATTCCGAAGGTTCATATTTTTAAAAAGATATAGGCTTTATAGTTCCGAAAATAATATAGAGTTCATAAACAATTATTTTGATAAACAATTTTTTTTTTTAAGTACCTTACCAACAAAAATCCTTCAAAATGACAATTCGTTATAATGCTGGCCTCAAAATAACGAGGAAATGTATGCGTTATCAAAAGTATCGAATATTTCCGATACATGTATAATTATTGAGACATAACAACTAATATCATACAGTAATTTTCGCTGTAAAACTAATAAGGAATTAGATTTATCCTTAAATGGTGTAATTGCTAAAACAAATGAAAACAAAATATATATCTGAATAATCACGTTTCTGTCATGACATCGCACATTACAATTACATGTACTTTGGGAAAAGCGAATGCCAGACTGTCATGACATTAATGTGAGACTCATATCAGGTATTATCTTACAGTAGACACCTGTTGAACATTATACTTACATGTAGTTGTCTTCTACATCGCAAAGTTTACAGGGGGTGAGTTAGAAGAATAGAACAAGATCAAGAACAGAAATATGCCCTAAGTTTAGCTCAAAGGTTGTACTTTTTATCTCCAAACATGACACAATGTTATCTTCGACGTCCTACCAATCGTCTTCTTTTGGTTGCAATCGGCCGTTACATTATCTCAAAGATTTCGTTTAAAATATCTCCGGTTTGTCTATGATAATACAAAAGAGCTTCGTGATAACGTTAAACGCAAATTAGAACCATCAAATCGTGTCATTGTCAAAGGTTTCCGAGTAAATTGATAACAAGAATGGCATTGCCACCTGCTAAATGCTTGTCGTAAACCCAACCCCAGCTTGCATTGTCTAGGATCTTCTACCATGATAATTAAGCCCACGTGCCCGAGCAAACAGGTACTTTATACTTCGGTAACAAATGAGAGGACCCCATTCGACTTGAAGCATCCAAACTCTGAGGTCGAATCTTCCTTTTCTCTTCCTTTTCTCTTCCCTTGCAGGCTTATGTAAAGATGGTTTGTTTTAGGTACCCGGTAGCTGTCATGTCTGTGGTCCTATTGGCTCTTCTTCGTCACGTGACGGCATCCTTTCCACTACTCTGTGGTCAAGAACTGGTCAAGGCTGTTGCAGCGGTGTGCAATGATCGCGGTTACTACGGTCAGCCAAGCAAAAGATCAGGTAAGTCAACCATATTTCACATGAACAATATCGTCATGATTACTATATAATTGATCATCATCATTAGCTATATGACTATCGTAATCCATGATATTAATACCATTCAAACCCAGCACCACACATCACCACTTCACCACTACCTCCACCACCCTTATCATCACTGACATCACCACCATCATTGTCATCATGGTGCTCCAAAAAGGCGTTGGCTTCCTAACTTAGAGCAATCCCCATAACACCACTGAAGAAATTGATTCAGTTTTCAGATGTTCAATATATACGACATGTTCAGCTTTTTCTTCTTCAATAATTATTTTGTCACTTGTGAAGACGACAATAATTTGTTTCTTTTGCGAAGTCAATGCAAAATATTTTGACCTGTGACTTGTTTATGTTTTTGATAGCTGGTATATTTGAGTTGGAGACGCGGGCCAAGACATTTCTGAAGTCCGGGATATCGAGAGGCGAGACTCGTCGGTCCAAACGAGGAGCAAGAACAGGTCTCATCGTAACAGAATGCTGTCTCAACCGATGTTCCGTCTCACACCTGGAAAGCTATTGCAATCCACTGCCCCCGGATGCAGTACACGATGCGGAGGTGCACATACGACTGGAGAAGTCCGCTGAGGAGGATGCTGACGAAGGGCGCCCTCAAGATGGCCCAAGTCAACTGGACACAGCTACAGGAACGGTCCCTGAGACTGAAATGTCGGAGACGCGAGGTCGGGTTCGAATCGATGCAGTCGAGAAAGTATTATCTGAAAGACTGATTCCGACATCGACAACGGGATCATCTCCGTCGCCATCGAGGAAGAAACCTAGAAAAGACAAGAGCGAGAGAAGGAACTCATCCAGGGAAGCAAAACAAGCTAGGAGAGAGGAGAGGAGAAGGAATAGAGAAAGGAGCTCCGGTGGCAGGTCACGGAATGGACGTCGGAAAGACAAGGACAATGATCGCGCTTCCAGAGCCAAACGACACGGCTTGAATTTGTGGAGGAACATGTTTTCGGACAAGGTAATCTTTGACCCTTTTCCAGCTGTTTGAACCACCACATAATATCATCACTGTTATAAAATGTAGTTATCACTCAATGTATTCACAATCTAACTTCAAAAATAGGTAGAATGAACATGCAGGGCTCCCGTAGATTATTAATATGAAGGCTAAAACCTCAACCTCATATTGTTACCTGTAAAGTAAAGCGTTTAATATTGGGAGGAAAATTTGTTTATTATCCATATATTGTGCATACATTTACCCATGTAATATATGATGGTCAAAAACATAGTTAAAGAACTTCACTTCAGTGAATAATGTATCCACGGCTGTTCTTCTTCATATGTGTAGTTACATCAAATACATACTATATTGAAACCTTTATATAAATACCGCTCAAGGAATACGCGGAAGGTGGTCTTAATAGGCAGGTGGTCTTTCTATAAAGGTGGTCACTAAATCAGGTTTGACTGCAGTATACGATATCGGCTGGTTTGTAACGTGCTATGTATTTTTTCCTTTCTATTCGTCTGCATAGTTTTTCAGTGACATCCCAGGCCTCGAAAATCAACCGAACCTTCACCCAGTAAACGGAAGAGCGCCATCTTCGACCACCATAGACACATTTCAGATGAAATCTTCGATCCCAATACAAGATTCTCCAGAAGGCAACGGAAAAGAGAACTTTGAACAATCATCTATAAACCAGGAAGCCGATAAAAAGATGCGATTTTCTGCTCTAATGACAAAGTTGAGAACGATGGTTTTAAAATTTCCGAAAGATAGGTGAGAGGAGCTCCATTTCGTCATATATATTTTATTTAAGTTTAGAGAATAAATGTATGTTGAGAGCTGGAAGGTTGTTACCCAAGGTAGCTTCTAATTTGGCACAATTAGAAGGTCATGAATATGCACGCGCGGTTAAGAATATGAATATTCATCAAACTGGCACGACATCATCACATGCATATTCATGACCTCCATCTCTACAGTCATGTAGATGTGCCCAATGAGAGGCTACCGTATCGAAATATATGAGTTGACACCCTTGTAGCACTCTGCATGTGTCTTCGAAGTTATTTATTTAAAATAAACATGCTTTGATTGGTCAAATTCAAAGTTATGCTCTCGCTTTCATATATGAAAAAGTTTGTTTTGTTTTTGCTATGAAAAAAATGAAAGGTACTATTCAAAATATTTGTCGTAAAATATGCATAAATCTATTTGAAAACATTTAAAAAAAGAAAAAAAAATACGTGGAATTTATCTTGGCGAAAAAACACTAAGTCGTTGGTTGTGGATATACAACTAGGAACGTTTCTGCAGCATGTTTATCATAAATGTGTAACTGTTCACCCGAGTATGGCAGTGCTCAGCATTTTGAGAAAGAAGTTATAAAATGCTAGATAGATGATTAACTAATCGTAAAAGAGTATGTTGGGTAATTTGCGTTAAATATCTTGTTAATCATTATTCTATAGTGATTAAATGCCATGGACAAATTTTGCGATCCCCTCAAACTTATGGTTTCATTACTTTGATTTAAGCCTGTCTGCACTATTTGAAGCTACTAGCGCCCTTTACGTACATGTAGCAAACAATGCGTATTGTGGTACCCGTTGGTCGCCCGTTGGTCCCCCATGTCCCCCTTTTCCTTATGTTAATCGAGAGCTGATTTGATGAGATAAACACCTGCCAATGACCATGCAGGGAGGTCTGATCCCTCCTGACCAAACTAGTGCAGACAGGCTTTAACATGTCGAGAAAAATTTCTAAGTAACGGCTGAGAAGAACCTTTTATATTATTAAATGGATAGTTAAACAAAATCAAACTAACAATTGGGGAGGGGGGCGGGGGAGGCGATTGGGGAGGCGCAGGCAGGGGGGGGGGGGGGGAAGATCCACCAGCCCTTATCTTAGAAAAACCGTTATTGATTTCATACTTTTTGTCATACCTAAAATGTGAATAGCTTTGTGAAAGCTGTCCATGTCCATCAGAAAATGTTTTGAATTTTGTTCTGGGTGTTTTGATTTGTAATTTGTGGATTTTGAATGTTGATGTCATCATGCTGTATTGACACCAAAGGCTGAAAAAATGTGGTGAATTTTTATTCTTGCATGTTACTTTTTTTCTTCACATAATGTGTGTAACATCATGAATACCAAACACCACTGGTGTACCCAGAGGCTCATTATCTGGGGGGGGGGGATATTTTTGTTTTCAAATGCATACTGGAGACTGGAAATTCAAAGTCTATCTGCATTGTCTCATCTTTGGAAGATGTAAATACGAAATAAATGGAAATATTGAAATGAAATTATTAACATGGGAAGTTAAAGTAGTTTAAACAAATGTCAATACGACCACTTGTAAGATGCACTTACAGTTATAATGATGCATAAATGATTAAATATGTCATATTATTCAAAATTCATCACTGCTACAACTGCTGCTGCTCCTACTTCAACTACAACTACTACAACAACAAGAGCAAGAACAAGAACAACACCAACAACTACTAACAACTACTAGTACTGCTGTTGCTGCTGCTACTACTACTACTACTGCTACTACTACTACTACGGCTTCTGCTACTGCTACGACTGCTACTACTACTACTACTACTACTACTACTACTACTACTACTACTACTACTACTACTACTACTACTGCTGCTGCTACTACTACTACTACTACTGCTACTACTACTACTACTACTACTACTACTACTGCTGCTGCTACTACTACTACTACTGCTACTACTACTACTACTACGGTTTCTACCATTACTACTACTACTACTACTACTACTACTACTACTACGAATACTTATGTGACTACCATTAAGATATAATTCGTCTACTACTCGTAAAAAAGTATACCACGACACACAGTTGACTTTCGAGTCTAAAACCTTAAATAGATAAGATTGTGTTTAAATGTTAACACGCAGATGCATCTGCGATTTGGTGAAAGGGCCAATACTTAATGGTATATATATATATACACAGATATATATGCCTTCATTAATGTATTTTTGTGCAATATAGTTTTATGAATGGCGCCCGTCACTATCACGATAGGGCCATTTGCCATTCATTTTTTTCTTGTAATTTCAAGTAAACTAGTATACAGTCAGACCGCAGCGTGCGCGATAATGAGGCTATACGCTGATTTTTATTCAGCGTCTCTTTGGTTATCTCGTACATTCACGTGTGCTGAAATTCACGAGATTTTCTGTGAGATTTGTAAGGGTGTACATGCAGCTGCTTTTGTGGTCGATAACTTCTGTCAACATGGCAGCACGCAACGGTAATTACTCTCGAGATTCTCAGCTTCAGTTTGATATGAAACTTGCCATATTTCACAATTTTGAAACGATCCTTTTTCACCACTTTTATTGTCGTTATTTTTGTAACATTTCAACAGCTATTTTGTACCCGAAATTTCGCTTTTGGTTCCTGACTTTGGTACATAATTAATTTGTTTACTTTGAGATTCGTTGGAAAGATGAAAAGTCACTGATCAAAATAATGTCAAAACCTAATTGACGCAAAATCTTGTTCTCTTTATAATCATAGTAATTAAGACCCTAAAAACCCGGAAATTACCAATTTGTTCTTTCTATATGATGGCACGAAATTGTGTGATTTCATACTCGTGCACGCTCGCCGTTTGAGCAATGGCAATGCATAACTTATTAGTAAACTCCAGGGAGCTCCGCCGCGCCACCGACTGGCCGAAAAAATTAAGAAAAATGATTAAAAAAGAAATAATGTAGAAAAATATTATTTGAAAGGCAGGTGACGTAATTGGTCCAGGGTCCTCAGGTTGTTGCCATGATTGCTTGCGCGCACGTGCATTACAGGCGCACGCCACAAGGAATGCTTACTCAAATTTGGTATTTAGAATGTTAATAAACCAAAGCGGAACATATGTGACGTAGTTGACGTATTTGGCCAATCAGAACGCTCTATTATCACATCGGCAAAACTGACTACTTTTTTTAATTATTCATGAACATTCGCGTGATTTTTCTTGGTTCCTGACTTTGGTACAGCGTAAAATATAATAATTTTGATATCATTGTAAAGAAAAATATTTATGCTTTATGCTGATTATAACATCTTCTTGACGCAAGAATGATTTCTATGTGAAAATCAGCCCTACTCTTTAGATAGATTTATCGTCGAAAAACCCCATTTTCAAGGCGAAATATCTGTTTCCAAAATATATTAAACATGATTGTCATATAAGTATATAGAGAGTGCAACTTCTTATCTTTGAAATAAGACCCATTTCATGAGAAATGAACAATTATAAAGGCAAAAACTGCCGATCGGGAAGACCGTCTGCACTACTCATTACGTATGCAAGACACGTAAATTCTTGCATACGTGCTGAATAAAATAGAGGGTTTTCGCACCGGCTGCGGTCTGACTGTATAACTATGTGTTTGAATGAAATGTGATAAATTGAAGAAAAAAATATAACTCGATGTTTGATTCAACTGTGACGATGAAGGTAAACATAAGCTTTGCTGCTTTGCAGTAATTTGCTTACCAATGGTACTTTTGTATTGTTCTCTTACTGCTCGTTTAATCACTTGTAAGTTTAACTTTGCATGGATTTATGCTTTGATCAATAAATTGTCGTACCAAATAAGATAATGCATGATATTTCACTGTGGCCTATCATACGCAAAGGTGTGATACAGTATTGCAAAACCCTCGATCACATTTAACACATTAAAGTAATGTTAGAAATAATGATTGTTTTTGTTTGGTATCAATTTTTTTGTAATTAATATTATTTTCTTTCCCCAAATATACTCGAAATTTAAAAAGAAAAATAAGAAATCAAAATTCAGATTAAAAAAATAATTGTGAGTTGTGAACCATACCGATGCTGTGCATTAACTTGGAAGTGAATCTAAATAAATGGTCTTGAAAATGAAATTATGTTAACCTGAAATGTCGATGTCAATAAATTTGCAATAAAACTAGTTATTCTTGTGCATTTTGAATGATTATGTAAATAACTAAACTGCACCACATAAACAAAAGTGAAGAATGAGACATCCGTTGACAGAATATAAGAGAGAGAGAGAGAGAGAGAGGGAGAAAGAGGGAGAGAGAGAGAGAGAGAGAGAGAGAGAGAGAGATTGGGAGAGACTGAGATAGAGAGAGAGAGAGGCCGAAAAAGTAAAACGAAAACGAAAGATATGATTATGACCAGTCGAAAATTGATTATTTCTTTCATCTTTTCTTTTTCTGCCCACCATGCCCCATTGTGTTTCTCTATCAATGTCTGTCTGTTTATCTGTCTGCCCTCCCCCTCCCCTCTATCTCTCTCTCTCTCCCTCTCTCTCTCTCTCTCTCTCTCTCTCTCTCTCTCTTGCCTATGTTTAAACTCAAGTACTTTCGTGGCTAAGAAGTAGTTTAATCACCAATGACCGACAATACGTTACTTGTATCGACACAAGTATTTCACTTTGTGAAATGTATCTGATTATAAGATTAGATCTCTCAATATCCGGTATAATAATAATAAAAACTGTTACAATGACTCAACGTTTTCGATCAAGCATTCATGCCTATTTCACGCTGTAATAGTTTGTCAGTATACTTTGTTGGTTTTACGGTTAATAAATTTAATTGATCTTGAGTTTACTACGAAACTCCAAAAGCAGTTATACTATTTCAATAACATGCATGCTTGCGCGTCAAGTGTCCACTTCACGCTGTTAAACACTTAAATGCGTTTGACAGTTCTTTCCTCTTATTTTGCCCTTAAAGTTATCACTTTATTAAGACTAATCCATTTTATTAAAGGGTAACACAACAAGGTCTGCAAACATTTACCTTATGGTGATAATTGATAGTGTCAACTTATTTCACTGAAAACTGCCCCTAAATTACACGTTGTATTAAGGACAGTGACATTATTACATTTTATTTTATAATTGATACATTTGTAGATACATAATACTTTGATTTCTCATGAAAAAACTGCTGTCCAATGTTTGCCAATTGAGCACACCTTCCTATTGTCAAAACTGGAGCAAGAATGCCGATAATTGTAAACAAACTTTCAATATATCAGTTAAAAATTATAAATGTCCAATCCACTGACAAAATATTGTTAATCCGTGTCATTTTATAAAATAAAAATGTAAATACTTATTATTTTGATTTGATTTGATTTGATTTATTGGTTTCTGCATCTTTTTTTTCTTTCTTTTTTCATCATACATTTTCATGAACATAATATGGTTTGATACAATATTTTAAGTGCATATAATTTTATACAGATAATGAACGAATTTAAACAAATATATTGAATGCATAATTAACATACATTAGATGCAGGAGGGCTACAAAAATAAGCAAAGTAGCTTGACGTGCCCACAGCCCTCAACTTAGATACAACAACATGAAAAGAAATAGTATTCGTAGTCC